TTTTTTTTTGCTCAATTGCTGTATTTTTACATTTGCGCAAATTACTTAAAATGATACGCATTTCACAAAAGTACCTATTGTGATAAAGAAAGCATTTAACTAAATTATTCACTTATCGCCGAAGCTCAAAAATGAGTCGATATTATATTCATAATTTTAATAATTTCTTATATAAAATATGCATTTCCTGCGTGCATTTTTATAGATGTAGTATGTATTTCGGCTGGTCTGTTTTATTACTGTAGTTGTTTGTTGCCGCAGTTCTATATACGTATTTATTTGCATTTGGATTTTCTTTATGCAACTTGTTCTTGCCCGTTAGCTGCCTCTTGATTTTTCATAACTTCAGGTAGATCTGGTGGCGATGAGTACGGCGTAATTTCGAGCGGCTCGAAATCTCCATGTTCGTCTCTGTGGAATAAATGAAGGCTTTAGCATGATAAAAGGGTCCAAAGGTATATTTAATTCAGTAAAAGTGTATTTTTAAGTGAAGAGGGGTATTTCAAAGAAGACATTTATGTGTGAGTTAAATATATGACGCGTGGACATAACTAAAACGCTTCGGAATATAAAACATACAGTCAAAAATCAAAGAAAATATTGTAAGTATATGTATAATATACATATTATATAGGTGTACATATATGTATATGAACTTGTACACTGGTTAATTAAAATTAGTATTAATACAAATATATTTTAAGCAATTTAATTGTGTTCATATTCATATGCAGTGATATGAGCGTAAGTTTTTAAACAGACGCCCATCATCATATGTAAATAAAAAATTTCAAGATAAACTAATAATAGATTTTCTCATATTTCTAGGTACTATAACTGATACATGTAGTAACAAAAATTTTACCTTAGTGCTAGTCCTAACTGTGCCGGGGCTTGCGCCTTTGCTGTAGACATCTGAATGCCGTAATCTTGAAGAGTGTTGTCGTCTTCCATCACTTCGTTGTCTTGATTGTACAGTTTCTGTTCGTGTGGACGCACTTTTAGGATGCCTGTTGTGAATGCGTTTATAACCAGCAATGGGAAGATTGATATTAATTATTATTAACATTTGTTCCAATCCAATTGCTTACCTTCGATCATACGCTTTAGTTCTGCGACGGTTGTGTTCTCCTTGGCATCGGTAAAAATTGTGGTTTTATGTCTTCGAATCATAAGGAATACATCCTGCACACGTCATGAAATCGTATTATTAGTAAATAAATGCAAGTAATATATTGGTCAAAGTTCATTCTACGGCGGCCGCATAGACATATCGTAGAGCGTAAGCGTTGGCAGTGACAACGCAGACGTCGACGTCAAGCCTTAAGCGACGACATTGACAGAGGCAGCAGCTGATTAGCAAAGCATTGTTGTT